AAATAGTGAAAGCCTCAGAACCAAAATAATAAAAGTGCCACATATATAGCCTCCTTAAACATGATTTTCATTTGATATAGAGGTGTACAATATGAGGCACGCATGGGTACGGTATTGCTAGGCAATTAGAAAAACTGACACAGTGGGCTTCTCAAACGTAGCGGACACATTAGAAACCCACTGGGGGGCATTTGTTGAAGCTAATTTAAAAAATAATACAAAGGGGTATTGTAATTTGGTCTACACTCAATCACCTCAAGTAAAGTTAAAGAGCTTAAATAATGTTGGAGCTTCAATGAGGAATAATAATGCATGGCAATATATGTATATGAATAAATAAAATTCTAACATTACCTGATAAAAGAGAGCCCATAAACAAAAGACCTAATGTGGCTTATTATCGTTAATTGTTTTCAAAAAAATATATCATTCGTACCTTTGCTGCTAAGGTCTGTTTAATCAAGTAAACTTATCAAAGAGGATAAGATAAAAGTTTGGAATTTGGTTAAGTTGGATTTGATATTATTATCACTATCACTAACAACCAGATAAGCAATGATATATATGAATACCCCATAGAACCACATTTGAAAGCTAGCTCCACAGAAAACAAAAAAAAAATTATATTCTACTCCTATCATGGAACATGTTGTAGGTGAATCATAAAAAAAAGAAGAAAATCAGTTGGGTAAGATAAACGAAGAGGATGAGATGTTTGATATTTGAAGCCTAACAAAGTTGTAGAGAAAATCTCATTCATAATGAAGAGATATATATATATGCCCTGAAGAAGACATGCGTCGAGATCAGAATGGTCTACTCAGACCAAAACGGATGGAGGAGATCAACTCGAATTTTGAATGAGCCTTACGAAAAAAATGAAGAGCCGCCTTTTACTCAGCACGCTGCTCTGCACAAGAATTAAAGTGATAACAACACACGATCCTTGATGACGTCAAAAAGCCTCTCCAACTGCACCCCCTCACTTCCTCCATAAATGCTCCTTGGAACTCACCAACAGATGAATATTCAAACTTCTACTGGGGCCCAACCCATCAGATATGTGCTGTCAACCTAGTAGATCGACAACTCGCATGATCAACTAAAAACGCGCTGTTAATCGGACCTCGATGAGGGCGACTCAAACGACTGGAACGCTTACCTTTATCAAGTCAAGTCATCATTAGCGTTCAACACTGTCCGTTGTGCCTGTTCAAATAAACTCTTCCTAGTCTATGCACGCTTGGAATTTGATGATTGGGTCAATTCTAATCCAGGACGCTTAAGATTAAAAACATAAGCACTAAACCTCGACATTCTTTTCATAAGCCCAAGTGATAAACACACTTTTATTATATTTTTATACCCTCATCATCTATTTTATGTAAATAAATATACCACTAATAATTGTATTTATCTTAATTTGTAGGTTAATAAAGAAATAATGAATAAAAGCCCAAAATACTCAAACTCTCTGATTTTCTACCATTTATTGAAGCCCAAATATGAATACTAAAGAAGATCCAAGAAAGCTAAAGGATCCATGAAGAAATCGGGTTGAGAAATCAAAGAAAAACAAAATCTGTTGCAAACTAATTGATCGGCCAACCGATTGGCCAATCGGTCGACCAACCGATTGGCTAACCAATTGATTCGCAACAAATTTGGTTTAATGAATAAAATTTTANATGGCTAGATTTTAATTCTTGGTCTCCAAGTTTCATCCAAGGGTCCTCATTCGTTACTGTAGGCTATAAATAGGGGTAGATAGTAAGGGGTTTGAGTGTGAAATATTTTATAAAAACTTCTTTTGGAGAGGAGGGTTACTCTTAGTTGAGAAGACCTTCTAAATTATAACTTTTTATTGTAATTAATAAAAAAAATATTTTTACCTCTTTATATTTTTCTTTTCTTCTCTTTGTTTGATTATGAAGATGAAGGTAAGATGAAGATGAAGATCAAGATAAATGTCTGCTATCACCTTGAGGCTACAACCCTTTTGGGATGTAAATTTTCTCTTTGTTAATAAATGTTAGACCCTAAAGGGGGGGTGATTAGGGTCTTATGCTAATCTAATCCGATTATATGCCAATTAAAATTAATTAACAAGTTATCCTAGCAAGTATGAAATGCAACAAGATATATAAGCTAAGATAAGCAATATGAACAATGAGATATATCCTATATGATGATTATATATATATGCAAGGATATATAAACTAACACAAGGGGTAAACAATATGAACTAGATAGTGGATCATATAAATAATGAGCTAATGACAAAGGCGACAAGAAATATAAACACAAGTAAATAAACGCCAAAGCACACTCAAACACAAGATATGATCACGGAGTTCGGACCTTCCGTCCTACGTCTCCCCTCCCCACTCCCGGGGAGAAATCCACTATCAACCGGGTTTTCTACGTTCACCCGAATAACGTTTACACCTCACAGTATCGGTTTTCAACGCTCACCGATCAACGTCACTCCTCACAATCGGTTTTCTAGTTCACCGAAAACTTCACAACACACTCGGTTTCTAGCTCACCGAAAACCTAACAACACACTCGGTTTCTAGCTCACCGAAAACCTAACAATCTCACAATGTAACAAATATAAATTGTTCTCTAATATGGATGAGAACACAATAAAAGCCCACACTCAATGTTACAACTCTCACAACCCTAATATATTATGAATGCAAATACAATAAGCTCAAGTGGGTGTGTGTAAACAATGAGTGAAATCAAAATCAAAACTAAACTCAATGAAAGAGAACAGCAATAGGGTATTTATACCCACTCTAAATCTCAGTCAAAACCCCAAGCCAAAAGACAAAAACAGCCCCAGCAACGGTAACAAAACTAGCCGTTGGAAACAGAAAAGATTGAGCGGAGGTCGACCAAAAATTCTCGCGGTCGACCGCGATCTAGGTACCAATCTGAGAATCGTGCAGGAACTTCGTCGGTCGACCGGTGCGGTCGATCGAATGAAATATCAAGCTCTCGGTCGACCGGTGCGGTCGACCGACAAACTCTCTGCTGCCCAGAAACAAATGAACAATTGAGCGGTCGACCGGTGCGGTCGACCAAAAACTGATATGACAGAAAAACATGTTTTAGAGCTGATTTTGAGATTTTGGAAAATATGTTAAAAATAATAAATGAAGTCCAAAAATAATGAAACTTTGGAAAATGTATATAAACATGTAAATGAACATGTTACAAAAAGAATTTTCCAAATTGCATTTCCCATTTGTGAAAAATTATCATTTTGCAAAATTGTTCAAAACACGAAAATGTAAACATGTGAATTTTGATATTTTGGCTAAACCATGTTTTGAAACTTTGCACAATGATTATATAGACTTAATAAAATATGTATATGATCATTGTTAAGTCCAAAAACTAAGAATATAATATTTTCACAAAATTGCATATTCTATGCAATATATACTAAAACACAATAATAAATATGAAACATGTGATTTCATATTTATAAACATGAAAACTCAAAAACTATGTATGTATATATATAACTATATATATGCATAGAAACCAAAAATTATGTATATATATATATATATATATATACACGAAGAAACCAATAAATGTGTGTGTATAGATATTGAGCTTAACGTACTTAACACACATAATATAAAACCTATACTAAGTAACCCAAGCCGATCTTGATCTTCAATAAGCTTGACTTGGTACACATGCGGATGAAGCTTGAACTTGATCTTTAACTTGAATTGTACGTTGCTTCACTCCACAATTCCTCCAACCTCCATTGGATATGTTCGTTGAAGCTCTATTCCATCCATCCTCCAACAACGTTATTTGTCTACAATATATAGGAAAACACAAATATTAGACAAACAATATTAGTGGTAAATTATTTGTTAAACATCATCAAAACAAGAAGACCAACAATAAATTCATCATTTACTTTCTTTTCTTGTTTAAATAGCCAAGAGGCTAGAACCCTCCTGCCTTAGATTTATTTTCATGCTTGTAGAGTAGATTTACTTTTATGTCTTTCTTTTCTTGCTTTAAATTCTTGCATTTATTTTGTAGTTTAGATTTTATTTTCTTGCACTATTCACCTTGAGGCTAAAACTCTCTTGGGATTAGTTTTTATTTTTGTTTATTTTTATTTTCTTTGATTCGCTTTGAGGCTAAAAACCTCTAGGGAATTGCATTTTTAAAAATATGGAACTAATACTTGTGGGAACTCTAGAAATTGCATAAAACTAACATTATTTTTTTTATAATTTGTTAATCGTTCTCTTATACTTAAAATAATCATGTCAACTAAAGAACTAATTGGTAGAAGAAATTCTAGAATTACTATTTAGTTGTTATTCTTTTCATGAGTATTAATATTACTTGGATGATAATTTGATAGGTTATGCTTTTCTTATGTGGTTTGATAGTCTATACTTAATAAATCTAAAGTAGAATGTGATAAAAAGAGAACGGTTCATATTTTATAAGTGAGATTAGATGGTTGATTTAATTCTAGATTCCTCATATATTTAATTGAATTCTTCATCTTTTACTTTCTTGATTTTTCCCTTATTGCTTAATTTTTCTCTTATTTGTTTCTTGATTTTATTTCCTTCATCTTTATAACCCCCCTTTAGTTAGTTTTGTTTATATTTACCCTTTATCACATCCACTCTTTATCTCTCCACTCTCAATCTCATTTTGCTTTTATTTATATACAATGACTCTCACTCTCTTTATCTCTCCACAATCATATTCATCACTGCTAATTGTCACACACAACATAAGAACCGATTTTGATTTTCTCCTACAAACATCTTTCTTGTAGGATCAATAACTTTTTATACTATAACTTGATAGTTATGCACTTATAACTTTTGGTTATCTTTATTTACCCCCTATCAAATTTTTGGTATCGTTGCCGGGGAAAGTGCTTATAAATAGGATTATCTATTTTGGTTCTTTAATTTGTGTATTTTCTGGTGAAGGGAGCACTTTGAAGCTTGAAGATCAAGGATTGAAGATTGAAGAATTGCCTTCAAAAGGCTAGGACTCTTTTGCATGGGTAACTCCTCTTTCTAGTATTTTCAATTCCACCCTTGGTTAGCTTCTCACAATTAGAGACAATTAGGATCATAAAAAAAGATTTTATTTTTGTTAACCATAATAAAATTCACCCTCCACTTAGACATTTACTAAAAAGATAATAAATTCAAACAATATCTCTCTTTCTCACATTTTTTTATTGCTAGCCTTAATAAAATAACAAAAGATTTTCTTTTTGCATCCTTTATAGTTGTTTTTAATTCAAATGGTTGCATTGCATATAGTAGTAGGAATTCACCAAAGTGATATGAGTATCTTGATTTGACACCACTTTAAAATATTCTTAAGGGAAAACCCCATTAATCAATATAAGGTAAGGGATTTTATCACCCCTTCCTTAGTCCACAAATCACTAATTCCTTACTACACAAACCCAAGCCTTTTAAAACTCATTAGACATTGGCCCCTAAGCATTTAAGTTTATTAAGGAACAAGAAATCTCTAAGTGAACCAGTTCAAGTTTAATTGAATTAGTTGGTGTCTAAGGCAAGGTTTAGGGATTGCGTAAAGCGCTTCATAAGGAACGAGGTACTTAATTGATCTTTGATCTCCCTCTAGTACTGTCTTTACCTGGCTAACTGACTGAGTAAATCTTCGATCTTTTAACAAAAGGACTTTTTGGTTAGGAGCTGGTCTAGTTGAGTCTAGGCTTAACACTAAAATTTAAAGTGATTAATACAAGTGATTGTATTGATTTATTTTAGTTAGGTTTTTCCTTTATCTTTCCCCTTTTCTCATCATCTTTTTAATCTTTTAGTTTTTTTCTCTTAAAAAATAAAAAAAACTAACTTTTATTTCTCTTAGAATTTTAAAAAAAATATAAAAAGAATTTATTTTGGTGTATACAAACTTGGATTAGTGATAATACCAATCGTTTAATCCATTTTGAACCATTTGAAGAAATGGCTAACACTAATCCACCTGTTTTCAAGATATGTGTTATCCAACTAGGAATGCAATATCATCTTTCATTAAGCTACCCGAAGTCAATGGAACTAATTTTGAGCTTAGACTGTATTATATTATCACACCCCGGGCCCACGGGCTCATTAGCGCGTGCAAACTGTTAGACCTACCGAGAGTAACTCGATGTTGGCTAAAGTCCACTGCCAAAATACTAGCACTAGTTGTTCTTGAGCCTTAGGCTTCTCTATTTAAGCCACTAATATTTATTCACACTAGACCATGTGGAGACTAAAGTGGGGGTGTCACAATCACCCCACCTTACAAAGACGACGTCCTCGTCATCACAATATGATAATTGGCACATACCAGTATCACTGTCAGGCGATGTAGACTCTAGAGGTGGCTCCTACGGGCTCTAGAGGTGGCTCCCATCATATTCACATGGTGTAGCACTTAGCCCCATATAGCATTTAGCTCCACACATCCGGCTAGCAACTTCTCTGATACCATTTTGTCATGTCCCGGGCCTACAGGCCTGTTGGTGCGTACAAGCTGTGGGACCCACTGAGAGCAGCTCGATATTGGCTAAAGTCCACAGTCAAATTACTAACACTAGTTGTTCTTGGGCCTTAGGTTTCTCAATTTAATCCACTAATATTTATTCACACTAGTTCATATGGGGACTAAAGTGGGGGTGTCATATACATAAATATGCTTCCAAAATTCTTAGGAAATAAAACTGAAGACGCTTATATCTTTATCATTAAGTTTGAGAAAGTTTGTCTTATGATTAATATTATAGAACTATCTGAGGATGTGATCAAGCTTCGATTTATTCTATTTGCACTAAAGGACAAAGCCAAGAAATGGCTGTATAGCTTACCCATGAATTTTATCTAAACTTGGGATGAATTTGTTACCCTTTTTTTAAAGAAATTTTTTGTTATCCACAAAATGGTTAAGCTTAGAAATAGCATCATGAATTTTAAAATTGTCCCGGGAGAGTCATTTTGGAAGTATTTTGACAAATTTAAGGATCTTCTTATCAATGTCCTCACCACGGTCTTAAAAAATAGCGATTATGCCAAATTATCTATGAATGATTTGATTATTCCTCAAAAACTTCCTTAGAATCAATGTGTCAAGGGGATTTCATGAAGAAAAACGCTGACAAAGCCTGGGAATTTTTAGAGAGTTTAACCGAGAAAACCATGTAGTAGGAACTATTCATTATCAAAGCGCGAGGGTCATCCCCGCGTTCCAAATTCCAAACGCGAGGGTCACCCCCATGTTCAAATATCAAAACACGAGAGTCACATCAGTATTCCAATATCAAAATGCAAGGGTCACCCCCGTGTTCCAATATCAAAACACGAAGGTCACCTCTGCATTTCAAAAACAAAACGCGTGGGTCACCCCGCGTTTCAAAAGCAAAATGCGTGGTTCGTACCCTTGCGTTCCAAAGATCAAACGCAATCCTCGCATTTACAAAAGCAGAACTCGAGTCTTGTGTGTCAAATCTCTTCAACCAAAATCATGGTGTCTTCGAGACGGATGCAGTGAACAACTCTTTTATGATAAGGAATCAACAGTACGTTGTTCCAAGGTCAAACTAAATAGAGATCCAAAGTATTTTAAAAATTCATTCTAGTCAACCGCAAACTTTCAAAAACATTGGAGGGAGTTCTGTAGGCTATCAAAAAATTATGACAAAAAGCTTGTCCTCGAAAAACACTGATGATGAAAATTACAATCTGACGACTTTCACGAAAACAGATGAGTTACAAATTGATGACTCTCACATTTCCAAGAATAAAATATAAGGATTACAAGCTGATGATCCTTACAAAATTTAAAAAAAAAGAGATTACAATTAACGATCTCTTCAGAGCAAAATGCGAGGGTCCACCCTCGCGTTCCAACTCTAAAGCGCGAGGGTCCACTCCCGCGTTCCAATTCTAAAACACGAGGGCCACCCCCGCGTTCCAATTCCAAAACGTGAGGGTCAACCCCCATGTTCCAACTCCAAAACATGAGGGTTACCCTCATGTTATAACTCTAAAACGCGAGGATCACCTCCACATTTCATAAACCTAAACGTGAGGCTCGTTCCAGAACGCGAATCTCACGTTTGATCATTTCAATGGCAATTTGAATGGTTCAAAACTATTTTCCACATAATGGGGCCATTAAGCCTCCATTATGGAGAGATTTATGGGGTCAGTTACACCCCTAGATCTCTATAAATAGATGAGAATTCACCTGAATATAGATTCTTTTGGATCATCTTTGACTTGGCTTTGGTTGGAGCTTTTAAGATCATTTGGCTTGGCTTTTTTTGAACCATTTTCGGTTAAAGAACATTGAGATCGGTTGTTTAGCTTATTTTGGTTGAAAAAAGATTAAATTTTCTTCCTGAAATTAACTCTTTCGTGCAGTTCTTAAACTCGTTTAGAGTTTTAAACTTGCCTAACAAGTTCTTCCCGACGTTAAGTTAAGAAGAGTAGACAAAGTTCCACGAAGCGAGGCGTTCAGATCGTCAACAGGATATAAGAATCAAACTCCCATCACCACATAGAAAATCCTAGAATTAAATAAAGGGAATGATCTCTGTTGATCTTTCTCTCTTTTGTAAATCGGGAAATCGATAAAAAAATTATAATTTCTTTTTCTAAGTCAGTTAGAGAGAAGTTACTTTGCACTATAATAAATTACACTTTTCACAACACTTATTCCTGACGCATGGTTAAATACGTCGCCAAAAATTATGTTTTTCGTGACGATTTTAGTTAGCGTTGGCAAAACATATAATTTTTCTCGTGTTTATAATTAGCGTCGCTAAAAGCGTATATTATTTACGACATTTTAACTTAGCATCGGTAAAAGTGTATGGATTTTACGACGTTTTTCATTTTTGTCGGTAAAAGTGTATATTTTTAGCGATGTTTTAGGGCTGGCGTCGCTAAAAATAACACTTTTCCAACATTATAGTGCGTTGGCAAAAGTATAGATTTTAGTGATACAAAACTGTTCGTTGCAAAAAATTATACATTTGGTGATGCAAGTTAGGGTCGGCAAAGGTGTAGCCTTTAGCGACGAACAGCTTTGCGTCGCTAAAAGTTATACTTTTGTCGACGCATTGACACTCCATCTTGTTTGATCAATCGAAGGTAAAGCCTCTCCCCGATGATGCTCGTTCTCTCTCTAATCTCCTTCTCGATCTGTATTCAAACAAAAATTTAGCTTATTTTTATTTATTTATACTGTATTCGGTTTATTTGAAAGGTTCCGTAAATTACTATAGTAATTCAATTTCACCGATTTTTTCCCATAGACTTTGTGCTCTTGACTATGGATATCAACTGGATAATTTTTTTGGTTAGAATCATTAGATCTGGTTATATTTTGAATCTGAAGAGAAGATTCCTTTTTCATAGTGTTCGTTGATTTTTTGGGAAATTTTTATCAATTTTTTATAAAAAGTTTTTAGGAATTGGTCATAAAGTAATTACTGTTAAATTATGCAATTTCCATGTAGTGTAAATTTGGCTTGGATTCATTTATTCTAACAAAATCCATCAATTTTAATCCTAAATTCATTATCAACAAAAGTGTAGACATAGTTTCGTAATTACTGTTTGATTTGCAGGAGATTGTGGTTGCAGAGTTGGCACTAACACACCCGATCCGTTTGGATTTTCACATTTTAATGGGTCAACTAGGTCCAAACGGATTGGATTTTTATAATTAAAGTCAAGGAAAACTGATAATAATAGTTAGATTTAAAGGAATATTTCTTTAAATCTAACCAGTGTTAACCAGGGGACCTAATTGTAAACATTGTGATGATTTGAGGGATGTAATAGAAATTTTAATGATCTGAGTGACTAATTTTTAAATATTAAAGATTTGTTAGTGTTATTTAAATATCTTTATAACTTTTTATTAGTTTATTTCATTTTCCCCGAACTAAAGAAAATATTTCTTAACTATCATCTTCTAATTTGTATTTGCTTTATAATCCTTTTTATGAGTTAAAAAATTATTTTTAAATTGTAATAAAGTAACAAATAAAAAATTTAAATTTTATTAATCTATTAAATATTTAAGTATAGCTACATAATAAATCACATATTCAATACATAGTTTAAAATATGGTGCTCTAAATATATCCCCAAATAAAATATCTATAACCCACTTCCCCCCCAAAAAATTCCCCCAAATTCTAAAATCCTGCCCACTCTAAAATCCCTAACCCGAATCTCTGTTCTCTCTGTTCTCTCCAGCAGCTGGTATCAACCTTCGTGCATCCTTCTTCTCCTCCTCCACTCCTCCTCCCTCTGGCGCTCCCGCTACTTCTCCAGCCTCCTCTTCGACAGCCACCACCACTAGTGTCGTTACTCACCTCATTCACAAGATCTTGGCCTCTGATCATCTTCATCCCTTCGACTCTCACATGGCGGTCCTTCAGCTCCTATACTCGTCGAACTTCGCCAACGCCATAGCCTCTGTCTCTGACGCCCTCGATCTCCTCCCTCTCACTGGCCCTTCAACACCACCGTGACTGTCCGCGGCTTGTCTGAAACTGTGTTGTTTGAGGGTTCCATGCGTGTTCAATCCGACACACTTCAATTTCGTCTAAGATTGCGGTTGATTCTCGATCTGAAGAGGCGCTTAAAGTTCAAATCTTTTCACTAAACTGGTTTCTTTGGGCGTATGTAGGTGAATTCAATGGAGTTACTCTTTGTTATTTGTTCTAGGATGTGGCATTAGATGCAATTATGGATTTTGTGAAGCTGGTGAAAGATGGGAAGTTTCAGTCTGCTATCTACCACCGGCTTCTTCACTCCATTGTAAATTTTATTTTTTGTTCAATAATCCACTATTTTGGTAGGTTTCTGGCGGTATTAAACATGATGAAGTTAGGAGGAATACAATTATTTTACTGAAAAGAATGTAGCTCATTTAATGTCATATACCATTTAGGAATAGTGCAAAGCAAAAAAAGAGGTCTTCTTCCTGGTAAATACTGAAATAGAACTGGGTCTGTGTCTATACTGGATAAGAGCCACAAGCTTTTAGGTACCATTTGGAAATCGTATTAGGGCTCTCTGAAGTTTGGGTCTGAGAAAATCTATGCCTTCGAGGTAAAAGCCAATTGGTTACAAGAACGATCCCGATATAGGATATAAGCAACACCTTGTGGAACATGTTGTAGCTTATTGCATGAAAATACAATTATAATGGCATGAGAAATTCAGGATAGGAGGTGTAACTAACATTTTTATTTTGATCTAGTGTTTCTCACCTACTCTTTCTCCATTTGGTGTTATACTTCGGGGTCTGTTTACACCTTAAAACCGAGTATAGCTTACTATCCTAATGAGCTTAAGATTTTGACTACATATAGGTCTTTCTTTGTCATTATATAGAGATGCTAATAGTCCAAAATATTATAAACTTAGCAAGGGATTTTCCAATTACTAAATTTAGTTTTTGTATGACTAAAGTCTCATCACTGCATCCTTTTCATTTGGATTTTTTTAGTTCTAACGATTTCATAGTTCATTTTTTCAGATTGCATTACGAGCGACTGATAGCTTTTTACTTCTTTTATTCCGATGAGCATATCTCATATTTTCCTTCTTAGCATACCTCATATTTTCTTTCTTACAATACTTCATGTAATGCAGGTTTGTAATACATCCTCAGTTGATTCTTTGATTGATTTGCTTGCATCAAAGTATTTCAAATATCTTGATATTCGGTATGTACTATTTTTTCTCCTCCTGAATTACTCCATATGTGAACTTAGTTACTGGTAGGTAGTGTAAGTATGTTGACCTCATAAAGCTCAACAGATATCATCCATTGATCTTTTGGTTTAAATCTTTACAACCAAATTTCATTGTTCTCAACCTAAAATAAGAAACCGTTAACTTTTCATATTAGCACAAATTAAAATTATCTGCTCCTTATAACCACTCATAATCGTTATCTTCCTAAAATGATTATCTTTTGCATAAACTACTATATTCAAAGTCCCAAAAACCAAAGGGTATGCACGGTGAAGTAAGTTGACAGTACTGTCTTCATCTTACATTTTTTTTAAGTTTCAGAAGTTAAATGTGTGTACATTTGACCTTTTATAGAAATGCACAATTCACAAAAGCTACACAAAATTTAATTTTGTCATGTGTATGTTTTTGGTTTAATGAATATGATATGATATATGTACACCCAAACACAAAATTTAATTTTGTCATGTGTATGTTTTTGGTTTAATGAATATGATATGATATATGTACACCCAAAACTTTTTATAGAATGTGTAGCCTTCATGTTTTTGGTTTAATGAATATGATATGATATATGTACACCCAAAACTTTTTATAGAATGTGTAGCCTTCCTCAAATAATTTTAAAATTTTTTGATGCTACTTTATTCTTGTTATGCAGGAACTTGGATTTGATTATCTTGGAAGTAGAGAGCAACTTGTCATGAGATTACAAGCAAACTAAAATATTTAAATAATTGTTCCCTTCTTTCTTTTCTTTCACCTTTTCCTTTCTTTCAATTGTGTTTCTTTTTTTCCTTCATGGATTACAAGCAAACTGGAATATTTAACAGGTCTTTGAGTGTTGACTTAGAAATGGAAATGAATGTAACTATTTTTAGTCCATTAAGATGTTTATTTATTTTTTATTTGATATGATAATTTTTTATTATTGTTCTTTAGATCATTGCGAGTTATTATGGATTGTCTGAAGTATAATTTGGTTAGTTTTGCAATGAGAGCAAATTCTTTGTTTGTCATAATATGCAACTTGTTTGGAGTATAACTTCATGTTTGGTTTCTTTGTTGATGTGAATGGGAGTAATTTTTTTGTGGATGTTAAGGTTCAATATAGTTTGTAGTTGACAGAAAAGATATTACTTTTGACGATGCAATTAGTCGACAAAAATATATTTTTTTACGGAAGCTAAATAAATTTTTAACTTTTAGCAACGCATTAATTTGCATCACTAAAAGTAACACTTTTGCTGATGCTATATTATGTTGGTAAAGGTATAGTTTTTAGCGACACAAAACTGTTCGTCGCTAAAAAGTATACATTTGGCGATGCAAGTTAGCGTCGGCAAAGGTGTAGCTTTTAGCGACGAACAGTTTTGTGTCGCTAAAAGCTATACTTTTGCCGACGCATTGGCTTTTGCTGACGCTACATGTGTCGCTAAAAGTACATGTTTTGTTGACGCACTTTTGTATATGAAAAATCTTGCATACTTTTGCTGACGCAAAATATTATGCGTCGCTAAAAAATATGCTTTTACCGACACATGAAGCATCGCCAAAAGTGTTGACTTTTACCGATGCAGTATGATTGCATTGCCAAATATTTTTCTTGACCCACTTTTGGTGACGCATTACGACGCTGAATTTTACATCGAGAAAGATTTTTCCTGATGTTTTTTAAACCTTTACCGATGTTTTGGTTTTGTCGGTAATGCTATATTTTGTTGTAGTGTTGAGAGATTGTATCCATTCTTTTCCTAAGTCAGTTAGGGGGATTAATACAAATTTATTTCTCTATTTTCTTATAATTTTTTTCCGCAAACAAAAGATGGTGACTATACTGGGGACTAACTTTTTCACCGATGAAGAAGTGGTGGTGTAATCCGATACCAAGCTCGTCGGAATGACTGTCGAAACTCTTATATAAGTATGAGGAACTCCTTTCCACCGGATCCCTTAGCCCCATGGCTATGCGCAAGATCCACAAAGTCTCCAAGGAGACTAAGATTCCTTCTATTGTCGACTCACCAAAGGAGCGTCCTTCCTTACGGTTATGCTGTTCATACAGTCCCCCCTGAATGAGAAGACTTTAATTCAGCCGAACTCACCAAGCGAGTTGAGAGCATTCCACCCATACCTTAGCAAAAGGTATCGGGTCACAAGAGACCCATTGATGTGACTAACATGATTAATACAGATGGTAACATCATTGCAAAAGACTCAACTCAGGCGAAGAAGAATGTTGATCACCGAAGGAGAAGATCCCTACGACAAGCACAGCTTAGAGAAAGCCGATCAACCAACTAATGTGAACTTCGCGTTTGTGGTTCTCAACACGACCCTGATCTTCGCGTTTCTATTGAAGAATATGAGCCTCACGTTTATGTGCCCAAACGTGAACCCCATGAAAGTCAGACTGAATGCGACCCTCAGCGTTGCGTTCCACAACTAAAACGCGGACCTCAAGTCTGCATTGAACGCGAACCTCAACCTCACGTTTCTCAGTCAAAACGTGACCCTCGTGTTTCAATCACAGAACACGACCCTCACATTTTAATCATAGAATGCGACCCTCACATTGCTCGGCTTGAATGCGAGTTTCAACTCCGCGTTCCGCAACTAGAACACGGAGGTCAATTCTGTGTTAAACGCTAGCATCAGCTCCATGTAGCTCAACTAAAACGCGACCCTCACATTTCAATTATTCAACGCGAACTTCGCATTTCAAGTGCCAAATGTGACCCTCACATTTTTTTTCTCCTTAACCCGACCCTCGTGTTTCTAATATTAAGTGCGATGTGATCTGTCGCGTTCAAAAAGACGAACAGGGATTCAAGATCCATGTTCACTACGAGTCAGTCATTTCTAATCATAGGCTGGGGGTTCCAATTCAAACCTCACGATCAATGAATAACTCTTCTTGAATTTCTGTAGTAGACTTTAGAAAGTTCATATTGAGAGAAAGACCAATACAATGATCATTGATTTCTACGGTCCTCTTAGGATGCCAATGTTGTGCACCTATATCAAGACCGTTGGTGTTTGACCAAATGGCGAACGTTGTCTTACCTAACGAGCGACAACGTTCCCACAAGAAGACTACTTTCAGAAGAAGAGTACTTTAGAGTCACTTCTAACATGATGAGTATAGGGAGATCATCAATCCCTAGCTGTGATGAGTCAGAGATGAATCAGTCACCTGGATTGAAAGAGATCATGAGTAAGTCTGATGGAATCTATCAACACACTCAAACTCGAAAGGTAGTCATCCCTCCTGTCAACTATCAGAAGTTGGATAAAGGAATTAAGTCTGATGATGAACACTCATCCATCGCAGAATCTCAATCCTCTAGCTCTTTCATAGAACATGAGAGCTCCGCTTATATGGTGGGACACTATGTCGCCCCTGGGTTCACACAAGGTTGTAGTCCAAGGTGAATCCAAGGATGTCAAACCTGTCATGGACCCACACAATGCATTAACACGTTTCACCAATCACAGTAATATCCTCTAGTGGAATCAAAAAGAAGTGTAGGTATAAAACATGCAAAAGAATATGATAGTAGTGCAATGAACATGATGAATACAGAAGAGATAGCCAAATAAAAATATTATGTCTCAAATGAACAAAATAAAATATAACTGAAATGGGAACAAGTGTAATATGTCTCAATACAAATATTATGTCTCAAATGAACAAAATAAAATATAACTGAAATGGGAACAAGTGTAATATGTCTCAATACATCGAGTCAAATGAAGTATCACTAAGGCAAATATAACTGAAATGGGAACAAGTGTAATATGTCTCAATACATCGAGTCAAATGAAGTATCACTAAGGCAATCGGCCTTTACAAAAATAAAAAACAAACTCTAATATCTGAATGAAAATACAAAACTACAGTGGAGCCTCTAATAGTAAAATCATGTGACAACGACTATGCTAGAACTCCGTTATCCTGCGGCCCTCCGAAACTCTGAGCTACCTGAAAAGAAATTTAAAACAAAAAGAGAAACAACATGAGCGTTAGAGCGCTACAGCAAGATCACCTCCATCCGCTCCCAGGGGAAAGGCTGCTAGATGAAATGGAGGCTCTACCTATTATGCATAGTTTACCTAGATCATTTTCTCTGTATCTAACGGAATTAATATTTAGACACCTACAAAGAGAGATGTAGTACGTTGAACGAAATAATCCAATTATGGAAACCCTCATATATATACCATATGTCTCAAATTGTAGATACTTAAATATTAACACCGAACTAAAGATAAACAATCTAAAGAAAATCAATAATTAGAAATCCATAACACGAGACTGGTATGTCGAGCAAAATAATCCAAACAATGAAACCCTCATATATATATCATATGTCTCAAATTGTGAATCTCTAATCATTGATCCCAACTAAGAAGTAAAGAGAAGCAATTCATGAAAGTAAAACTACAACTCCAACCCTCACACATGGTGAGCTATGTCAAAACTTAGACTACCCTCGGGTATATATATATATATATATATCTTTATCAAATAATGATACTCTTGTAAGATTTTCACAATATCATGTGGATTTAACGTTCTTACTCAATCGTTCTTTGGCAATAGGTTTTATCTCCCCTATTCCGGATGATGCATCAGATGATCGTACAATAGAATGTAGGTGTATCAGCCCAGTCTGAAAACACCCCAATCATCTTCGAGTATTGGTGCCATCGAGGTCTCATTATTGGAAAACATCCAAATACTTTTAGTGTGGTACAGGCGAGGTCTCATTACGGGGTAAACGTCTACACTGAGCATTCCCAACGGATAAGTTATGCATTATCATGTGTCATGCCAACCATAATCAACTCAAACATGTGTTATGCACCTCAACTATGCATGTAAACTCAATCAAAATGTGTATTCAAACATGAAAGCACCCTAATGCCACTAGGAAAGAACCCTAGAGGGGGTTGAATATGGTGTATGCTAATCTAATCTGATTTATGCCAAATTAAAACTAATTGATAAATATCCTAGTAAGAATGATATGCAACAATATATATATGCAAGGATATACAAATATCATAAGGGTAAACAAAATATAAACAATATAGTGGATGAAATAAATAATAAGAGAATAGCAATAAAGATGAACAAAAATACAAGTATGCCAAGCCAAACTCAAACACAAGATATGATCACGGAGTTCGGTCCCCACGACCTATGTCTCCGCTCCTCACCTCGAGGAGACCTCCACTATCACAACCGGGTTTTCTATGCTCACCTGAGTAATGTTTATACCTCACACTCAATTTTCTAGCTCACCGAAAACTTTACAATCACTCACAATGTAAACACACTAACTACCACCTCAAATGTTGGTCTTTAGCCCGTGTCTCCCTTAAGTATTAGGAATTACAACCTCTCTCTAGGCATTACCACCTATCTCACTCCTCTTGGGACGACCACATCTCTCACCACACACTCCTCTTGGTGTACTAGTGTAATACAAAGTGAACCTTACAATTAAGCTCACAAGAAATGATTTGTTTTCTAAACAAGATGAGAACTCAATTAAGCACAACTCAATGTTACAATCTCTCACAGTCCCAAATATACTATGAATGCAAATACAATAATCTCAAGTGGGGGTGTGTAACAAAGCGAATTAATAAAAACAATTAAACTCAATATTAAAATCTAGCTTATGGAAATTAAGATCAAAACATATAAATTGCTAGAATTAAGTTTAAGGAAAACTTCTCTATAGATCAGGAGAGAGAGAGGGAGAAGAGTTGAATGTTCAAACACCAATGGATAATCTTTCTCAAGCTCTTGTGAAATTGTCTTTACAAAACAAACTCTCAAATGCTTAAAAGCTATTTAAACAAACTTAAATCAAAACTCAAACCCTTGTTAAAACACTCTTAAACTTGTTT